AATTACATAGAGGTCCCTTTTACCTCTTTTGGGGTCCCTTTTGCCCCACCTGCTATGCAGGCTTCATAATTCTCTGGGGTCCCTTTTGCCCCACTTATCATGTAGTTCTGATATGGGAACCTTTTGTCCAAACTACAATGATAAGGTATACATTATTCATAGCCAAACTTTACATTAATTTAGTATTCAACATTCTTTCATAATTCATATCATATCAGTCTTCACTGTCATTTATGACATATCTTGTGTAAAGCTAATATACATAAGTTTTTCAAGAAAGATCACCTTAGAAAACTTGCCAATGACCTCACAAAACATTGACTTGGAATTATATCATAACAAAGATATAAACATCATGTCATATTTAAAGGTATGAAGAAAACATTCTAAATCAAAACAAATGAAAATAACATATAAGTTTATTTAAACATTAATCTTTGCTTTACTTACCTTCGTGATGAATTTCCTCTCCTAATTCTACACCATGTAATCTTCTCCTTTGATAAACTATCTCAAAACTTTCTTTCTGCATAAATCTGATTAATCCTACAATTACGATTGATATACACTTCTTGAAAACTTTCTTTAAAAATAATTTAAAGAAACTAATTTACATACCTTGATTTCTTCCTTTGATTTTCCTTTGATTCTTACTTCAGATATATTCTTCAGATCTTATGCTCACAATAAACTATAATTATAATTCCATCAATTCATCATTCTCAATCTTTGATAAAATTTCTAAATTGAATTTACCAAAACACTTCAAATACCTTTACTGATATCTCTGAATTTTCTTCATTGTTAATTGCTACAGTTTTTCACTAAATTGTTCTTCTACCGCAGTCTCCAGCCACCCCAAATTCTGAAGAAATTCACTGTGCCGAACCAAGGAATAGTAATTCCTGCATCAGGCCGAGATCTTCTCAGTTAATCCAATGAATTTATCTACAGGAATTCACTGTTAAACTCAGCAGTTTGTCCGCAATATGTTGTAGTCTTTCACTGCCTCTTGCTACAGAACTTCTCCCCTTCTGCTATAGGACTTCTCCGCCTCTTTCTACAGAATTTCTCTGCATTGCTTTAACAAAAACAGCAGCATTCCCATGAAACGATTACAGGATAAGGATAGAAGAGTGGGTCCCACTCTTCAACCGACTTCCAAAAGTCTCCTCCCCAAGGCATCTATTCGGCTGTTAATTTAAACTCAGTTAATTATATTAATTCTACTATATAACGAATCCTTTTATTTTAAATAAATAATTATTTCACAGAACTTTTCACAAAAAATATAAGCACATACCAAAGTTTGGTCTTTGGATATTATAGCTAAGATCCCCTGGAACCCCCAACGAGCTCAACAGATTGAATTGTGAGGTTTGAGACAACAATATGGCCCGATTGATCAACACGGTCAAATTCCACAGAAAACTAACATCTTATCAATAGGGGAAGCAGAGAAGGAGAATGGCACATAACCAAGGGCTAGAAAGGAGAAGCCAGAACACCAGCAAATTTTGGGAGAGGAAGCCCGAAACCAGGCAGCACAAGATTGCTCAATTTCAGCAGTACTCATCATTGTTTTCTGCAACAAACCTAAGCCCTCAAATATATATAGAACTGGGCACAACAATAAAAGACATGAACAGCCTTAATGAACAAGATAGTGTGCAACATAATCATTATGATATAATGAATAAAGTGAATATACAAAATCATTCAGCAATATCCATGTTGTAAATGGAAGTTGTGATCATGCATTCATTTGGGTGTAATTATTGAAGGAGTATTGACATCGAGGAGCAACAGATGATGCTGACCCAATCTGTATAACCTTTGCCAAAATATTGGTGTTTATTTATCCTAAAATCCAAATGATTGAAGCATGTACTTGTTCTTATGGGCCAAAGTTCAAGTGAACCTATGAAGAAGGGCCATTTTTTTTCCCTTTCACCCAAAGTTTGAATTTCACTGGTGTAATCACTGATCTTACTTTTGCCAGTTCTTACGACTACATTGCTGACTTGCAGGAACCTTCAGTTATAGATTAGATGTTTCGTGGAACAATTATTGTTTGATCTTGATCTTAGGATCTTCTGTTTTCAGATATAAATTTTACATCTTAAAATGTGTGTTCTTTGGCAGATGGAAAAGACCAAAGTGATTAAACGCAGTCTAAATCCTGTGTGGAATGAAGAGTTAACATTCTCTATAAAAGGACCTGTTACTGACCTTAAGCTGGTACGTTAATTAAGACTTGACCGTTTTTGGTTGATGTCATGCTAACAATTTACTAATAGTTATGCCATTCAACTTTTTACTGTGAATGTTCTGTTATTGTGATCCACCAGATTATACTTGATCGATTAAGTTTAAAAATCCTACTTGAATGGCTTTCTTTATGCTTCTCTTCTCCTTTCAAAGGCAATATCATTCATATGATACTTAATTGATTATACTTTCCAAACTAGGTATGGGTGATTATCATATGTACACACACAAACAATTTCGCATAAAATCCATTAAGTTTATTGATTATTAATCAAATTTCAAGCTTAATTAACAGCTCTAGAATTAGAAATTAAAAGTATCATATAACATCAAGTTCGAATCCAAATTCCTTCTTTCTCAGTTTTCCACTCATCCACATTTAATTCCTAAAAAAAGTTGACATAATTGGCAACAACTCAGAAATCATCTGCACTATCATCACTGAGGGGTATTTATTTGAGTTGTCGTCATAACAAATTTGTCTCTCTCCTACCTTATCCTATGGAATACAATACCTCTCAATCTGTTTCTTCTTTTATTTTAATCATCTTTCTCTTTCAAAAATTTTTATCATTAACATAAAAATGAGAAAAATACTCTAAAATTTTTAGAGGATGAGATGGTGGTGTGCAGCTTTCAAGTGATTCCCAACGGTGGCTATGATGGTGTTAGCTACAACAAAGGTGGTGAGCTGGAGGTTGAGGCGATTGAGAGAAAGTTGTAGTTTGAGGGTGCATGAAGGCAGGATTTGTTTGAGACTTTAGTTTAGTATTTAGATAAGTTTTAATAAAATATATATAAATCGGGTGAGGCGTATGCGTACGTCTCACGCCAATAAGGCGAGGCAAGCCTCATAAAAAAAGCTCGAGACGTAAGCCTTGAGACGTGTTTCACTGGAATTGCATTGAGGCGTGTCTCAAAGCGAGCCTTATATTACGTAATTTTAAACAATGATTATTTTATAAATTACCATGTTCTTTTCCTACATTTGTCCTGGGATACATTCACTTTGGATTGTCAGTTTTCTGGAGCGATCTCAAAAAGCACATGGGCATCTGTCAGAAACATATTAATTTGTAATATTTGATAAATGTAATGGTTTATTTTTTAATAGAACAAATTCTTATTCTACTCTGTTTATATTCAGTAATTTTAGGTTATCTCGAATAACTATGTACATTGTTATTAAAATATGAAAATTCAAAAGGTTAAAGTCAATTGATCCTCCCTTTTTTTCAGGAGGTTTTTGATCACGACCGGTTCAAGTTTGATGATAAGATGGGGCATGCCTACCTAAGCCTCCAGCCAATTATGTCAGCTTCAAAGCTGAAGAGAGCACTGAAGCTTTCAACGGGTGAAAGTGAAACCAACCTCAGAAAGGTAGCTCCTAATAGAGACAACTGCCTCATTGTAGATAGCTCTGTGACTTATGTGAATGGAGAGATTGTGCAAGATGTTTATCTGAAACTACAAGATGTTGAGTCTGGTGAATTATTTGTAAAGCTGAAATGGTTTGACCTTTCCACATAATAAATATCAGTTTGTTGAATTGTACCAATTTAGCTTCTTCTGATTTGTAAAAATAACACAATGTCATTATTCAAATTAATTTGAAACAATTAGTAATTGTTTGATTATCTTGTCTTAAGCATTTTCAGGCATTAATTAAAATTTATAAAAAAGATTAAAGCATCTGGAGAAATAAATTCATTTTCATTTAGTCAATAAAATCGTCTACATCATATGCAATTCTTCTAACAAATACAGCAGAATCAGAACTTTTGCACTTTGACAGAAACTTGGTTGTTGATTTCTTCCTTTTTCTTGAAATTTGTATACTGTTTGCTGCTTGGACTAGCCTCTTTCCAACCTGATACTTGCATGACTTGTGAGGTGTGCAGAGTGACGATTTCTTGTTTACCAGCTTTTTTGATCCAAGCTGTTGCATCTTCACCTTCGAAGCAACTTTAGCTCTTACAGCTACGTTTTTTTCCTGCTTTTTTGCGAAGGAACACTGTGTGTCTGTGTCAAATTCAACTGTTTTTCTATTGCTAATATGATCTGGTTGAGATGCCAAGGTTCTAATATTGGAATCCCTCAGTTCATCAGTACACACATGTACAGTTTCATGAATGTGTTTATGCTGACAATAAAATGAATCTACCTCATCTAATTCAGAAAAGAATCTAGAGATGATTCCAGTGACAGAGATTGTCTGATTACTCTTCTTCCTAGAATTCTCCAGACTTGATAAACTCTCATGCACTTTGCCTTCCATTGGATGCTCTGAAACTGTACTTATATCATTCTGGAATGCTTGGAAACAATCAATCCTAACAGGTTTTTTGGTTTGATTATCACCATGGGGTGAAGAATTAGACAATGATGAGGATATTTCCTCTAGGGCATTTTGCATCGAAGAGGCATTGAGGTGAAGAAGCCATGTTCGTGATAGTTCTTTAAATACATGCTTGATCGCCATTGAATCTGAGAGATGATAAAAGAAGGATTTCTTTTTCACCTATAACAAGAAAAGGGAGAAATTGGTTAGTTGGAATTTGTGGAGGCAGTCGGAATTATCTTCTGGATCTAACATGTGTGTATCAAATAACACTGATGTGAGATAGAAATGTACCATCAATCCATGAACCTTGATTTTGCCAAGATTTGGGAAACAGGAGAAATGTTCCATTATAATTTTACCTATCAAAGGGGCAATACAACAGTGAAAGGTCAGAGAAAGAGAGAAAAGACAGTAGGAGCTGTGCCGATACCGGACGGAGAGAATCATCTGAATTTTTTTTTTCAGTAAAAGCGCAGCTGCTATAATAACTGTGCTTTGACTGTGCATTTACTGTAGACAGAGAGAAATTCGGAGGATTTCTCTCTGTCCGGTGTCCGCACCTAATAATTTGCCTGTAATTTGTTCAGTTGAATATGGATTTTGGCAAAATAAGCTTCACGTTGTTCATTGTTTGAGAAGATTCCATGCAAGTAAGAATCGAGAAAAAAGAAACTGGGGAGAGGCTTTCTGATTAGTTAAAAGCATTTGAAATAGAGAAGGATATCTGTATCTTTCGAAACACATGAAATCAAAGCAATGACATAGCCAGTGCAGTTGGGATCTCCCTTACGTTGCCACCATGTAGCCAAATCAGGTCTTCTTTTGTTGAGGTAGACATTGTTGACTCTTAAAAGCACATCAATAGAGGGTTTACTCTGGATGCACCACTAAAGACACCTAAAGTAGCATGTTTGAAAAAAAAATTGACCACTTGTACTTCATTGATATTGTAGTAAGATGGTGGGACTCAAAATGTGAAAAGCTTTTTATCTTCCAAAACAAGTTATTAAGAGAGAAAAATTCATACTTTAAAATTGGAGCAAAATTGTTGTTAAAATGATTACTTACATTAACAAGATTCTCTTGTAAGTTTTATAATATTCTACAAATACATCAAACTTAAACTTGAGACTGCTGGTAAAGTGAGATGGCACAAAATATTTTTAAGAAAAAGAAATGCAATATTAAAAATGAAAATAAAAATATACTATTGAGACAAAAATAATTTGAAGAAAGATAAAGATAAGTAAAAAGAGTAGTTACAAAAGTTATCTAGCAACTCATGATGAGCATAGGCTCGACTCGTGAGGTCGCGAGCCGGCTCGAATAAATATTAATATTTTAAAAATAATTTTATTTTATTTATTAAATTTAAATATTAAAAAAATAATAGAATCACCTAAATTTTATTTAAATATTAAACATTTCATATTTTTTTTTTAAATTTTGTCTAAGTTTTAAAAATCTCGCATAAATTTTAAAAATTCCGCCTAATTTTTAAAATTTTTAAAAATCTCGCCTAAATTTAAAAATTCCCCCCCATGGCTGGCGAGCCGGCTCGAGCTTGTTTACAGTGAGATGAGCTCGAGTTCGAGCTCACTTTCCATCTAACGAGTTGAGCTCGATAAGAGCCTAAACTCGACTCGACTCGACTCGTTTACACCCCTAGTTCAACTCGTTAAGAAGCTCATATTTGATGCATTTGTTAAGAGAGCTGAAAACAAAAGAAATTTCAGCTTGATTTTAAATGAGTTGAACCCGAATAGACATTTGCTAGATCGTGACATCTTGTTATTGGCTAGAAATAAATATATATAGCTTTCAATGATTTATATAATAGATTAGATAATAAAGAAGACGAAAGATGTATGTATACGTTAGCCAAAAAAAGAGATCAGCCCTAAGTCCATATCTTTTTGCTTTGGTCATGGATGTTCTTACTAGACATTTGCAAGAGGTTGTACCCTGGTTTATGCTTTTTGTTGATGATATTCTTCTCGTTGATAAGACTAGAGAGGATGTTGAAGGTAAACTTGAATTATGGAGGTCAACCTTAGAGTAAAGGTTTGCATTTTAGTAGATCTAAAACCAAATATATGGAGTGTAATTTTAATAGTAATAGATCTAGTGAGGGGGATTGTGACTTTGGGCGATCAAGTCATTAATAAGAGTAGACGTTTTAGATATCTTGGATCTATTGTTCAGAGTGATGGTGAAATAGATGAGGTTGCACATGAAATCTGTTGGCCGTCTTTCTAATGAGGACATCCGTAGGAGACTCCGACATTCGTACCACCGGAGGGGTCGTCGAGCGACGGCCATGATTCAGCAGCCTTATTTGACGGCGGGCGCCAAAGATACTTAGTTCGTTGGAGAGGGAAGCCGGAGATGGAGGATACATGGCTGGAGCGGGATGAGATACAGAGACTGGACCCCGACCTTCTGGAGCTGTACGAGAGTTTTCAGGACCCTTACTCGACAGGGTCGAGTTCTCTCCCACCCGGGGAGAATGATGAGGACATCCGTAGGAGATTCCGATATACATACCACCGGAGGGGTCGTCGAGCGACGACCATGATTCAGTAGCTTTATTTTTGATGCTTTATTTTATTCAAGTCATTTTTTATTTCTTGTTTTTCCATTTGTACCCATATGAGGGAATTAGTGTTTTTTGTAGCCCAAGGGCAATGTCATCTTTTATTTTCTTTATTTTCGATGAGCCTATATAAGGGCTTGATCATTGTATTGTATGGATTATTGGATGAATGAAATTTTCTACTTTATGTTCTCTTTGTGAGTGCTTGAAGATCTCTTGGTGAGTTCTTCGTTTTAGATCTCTTAGTGAGTTCTCTCGGTAATTACAATTCTAGTATTTTATTCTTCCCCCTACGTCTTCCTCACCACAAGAAATCCAACCTAATTTCACCCTAACCCCTAGCCGCCGCCCCCCTTGGGTTTTCCGCCGCCGGCCACCCTCCCAAACCCGCCCGACCACCTCACCAACGCCCTTCCCCCACCCGGCCAACTCCCTCTCTCCACAAATTTCAAATTTGAAATTTGGAATTTAAATTTTGAATTATTTCCTAATTTAGTTCACATGATTGAATCCAATTTCAAATTAATTTAATTTGGAGTCTTTAAATCCTATTTCCACATCAGCAAACTCATTTGGAAACCCCCTCTTCTCTCTCCCCGAATCCCTCCCTCATAAACCCGCCGGCCCCTCAGGGAGTTTGCATTGAAGGCACTAAATGCTCTACTCCCTCATTGGAGATTTCAAAATTACTTTTACTAAAATTCCCTCCAATTACTCTTAAACTGAAATGTAATTTCAGTTTTCCCACAACCCTAGCCCCCTCCTTGATGCTGCCGGCCTCTATTGGCTCCCCCATTAATTGAGCAATAAATCTCCCCCTTTAATTTGGGATTTCAAAATTTGATCCCAAATATTTTCCCTCCTAAATCCCTTAAACTGAAATTAATTTCAGTTTTCTAACACAAACCTCACCCTTTCACCCTAGCTCTATCACCGGCCCCCCCTCCTCTCTACAACCCGCCAACCCCCTCTCTCCCTCCCATTGTTGAGCTTCTTGTGGTGACCACTCATCTTCCTCTCCATGTCGCATGGCGGATCCTGAGCTAGAATGGGGGCTTGTGTTTGATGCCCAAGGCAATCTCGACGTACTGCGATCGCCGTTCTTTGACGCGGGATTTGAATCCGACGAAGACACCGTGGGAGATTACTTGGATCGGATCCTCCCGACCCTCATCCAAGTTATTGATAGACAACGTCCGGACTACGAGTGGACCATCGATGGCCGACCTTCCACACCACCTCCACATCCGGCGCCTTCCTCTCCTTCCCTACGGATCTCCGGCGCCGTCGCCCTCGGAGTGGTTTCATCTCTTGTGTGGTTCTTCTTCTTCCAACAACCCTAGAAGTAGATAAATGAGCGTAGCCTCAAGGTGAGACAATCGCTTTGTTAACCGTTGGATTCTCGTTGGCTTTTCATTTGCACTACTACTTATTGCCGTTGTTATTTTATAGATCTTGCTAATTTAGCAGTATTACTTGCCTAGATTTGGTTAAATTCTGAGATCTTTCTTGAAGTTTCAATTAAGAAAATCATTAAGATTGAACTTTCACTACTTTAACAAACTTTTATTAATTTTCTGAGATTCAAATTCCTGGTTTCACATCACTTTCTTTCTTGTTGTAATCTCTATCATGTTTCTTGCAAGTTTAGGTGACATTTTTTAGGGAAAAGATTGCTCCCATCCAATTTAGCCATATTTTTTAAGAGCTTTTGCTAGTGAAACTTCTAATATATTTTAGGATGCTTGATTTTCCACCAAGCTTACACCATCATCTTGTTTTTTATTGTTCTTATGCCTTGAATTTTAATCTTTTGAAAGAGATGAACCAATGAACCGAGCAGTAAAATGTTTGTTTGTAGGGAGAATACTGATAATTTTCTTTTACCAGCTTTGGCACAATGATTCTAGACTAGTGACTAATTAAATACATTATAAGAGTTCAGTTAATGTCTTTGTTGTCATTATATTTTATTATAAAGCCCTTTGTTTTACTAAAACGTATCCCATTTATCTCTTAATAATTATCTTGGCTTGTTTAGCCCTTAACATGGGCTTGATTTTGATACCATAGACTAATTAATTAAAAAACTAGTACTTAAATTATGGATAGAAACTTTTCTTTATTAGCGCTTAGTGAAGTATGGATGAAATAACCCCTTAATTGTTAATCAGTAAATGCATTTCTTCCATGCTAGTTCCTGCTTAATTAAAAATATCTTGATATCTACTTAGTTATTCCTAACCTACTGCAAAATTAATTCAGGAATTTACTTTGATTATTTCTTAATTAATCTCTAATATAATATTTAATGGCATCATTTAATAATGATGCATTCAGTTTAATTGATTCCTTAATAAGTGCTCATCCTCTTACCAATCCTATTTATAATACTTTAATCCCTAATCCCGTAAATGAAAATTGTAGCCAAACAATTTTAAAAAATTCCAAAGATTAAAAATGTTAACCACCAAACAAATTTCAGTATCAAAACTATTTATAAACCAGGATGGTTAAATCTAACCTACTTGCAAACAAACAGCCCCTAGAAAAGAAAAAAGAGGCTCATATTTTTGGACAACTTTCTCTTCTCTTTTAAGGAGCATAACCTAATAAGCTAACACCGAACTAAGACAAGCTATTGACCAAGTAATTCAGCGACGATTCCCCTATATATTAGCCCATTTGATTCAAATCATCGATTACCAATTGACTGCTAACAAGATAAAGAAAAAAAAAAAAGATTTTTCAACTAGTTTCTTTGAGGGGAACCTAGTCCTTAAGTAGAAAAGCTTAAGAATTTAGCTGAACTTCCGCTATTTCAAATTCAAGGTAGTAGGTGACTAGTAAAACAGCTTGATGAACTAAAAAGAAGATGCTACCAAAATCAAGCACAGCTCATGGAGATCATTTGAGCATTTTGTCAAACACATGGAACGCATAAAGTAGTAATGCCTAAAAAGAGGATTTTGGATCTTATTTTCATCTATCATTATTCATACCTTTGAGATCGCCTGCTGTAATGTCCTGAGAGACAGACAAAGCGAAATGCGTGCCAAGGTTGGTGTCCACGAAGAGCGGAATCACGTCGTAGAACCCCATTGATGGATGCGGTGATCTATTTCCGAGTATGCTACCGGAGGTTTTAGCAGCGGAAAAGGGCTACATGAAGGAGCATTTTTAGGGGATTTACCGAGAAATTTGAATGTACATGCTTCATCATTTTTAAAAGGGGTATTTACATACATTTCACTCTTTATTATACTATTTACATATTTAATACTTAAAATTTTAATATTACATATATACCACACTATATTATTTTAATGTCAAATAAGCCACGCATATTTCATTCACACCATTCATATACTTCATTCTTACCACCCATATTTGATATGAAAGTCTATGAGTGGTATATAGGTAATATTAAAAATTTAAATGTTAGATATATAAATAGAGTGGTATAAAGTGATATATAAGTAAATATCTCTTTTAAAAATTAAAGATATATTATTGCTATATATATATATTTTATTTTGCATTTAAATATCTCTAATTTTGCTCATATAATATTGATTTCAAATTGGGTTAAAACTAAGTGACAAGTGAAAATAATGTTTATTTCCATTTTTAATATTTATTTGAACCAATCATATTCTAGCAAGGTTCTAATATAATTGTAACAAGGATCAAATAAAGTTTAACTAAGGTTTAAACATGTTTCGAATATGAATCGATATCTGCTTGAACATGATTTGAAGATTAAGGTATCGTTTTGGACGACTTTTTTTTTTATTTTTTAAAACAGAATTTTTGTACTAAAACTCTATTTTAAGAATCAATAAAAAAATCGTCTCAATGCTTCATTTGGAATGGCTTTCTTACCACTTATTAAAGCAGCTTTTCGGGACAAAAATATTCTTAAAGCAGTAAGAAAGTTATCACAAACTAAGCCTAAGACTATCGCTTTCTAAAGCCATTTTTTAGTACAAAAATTTCTAGTTTAATAAATTTTTTTGCTAAAAAGTTGTTTTAGAAAACAATAAAAAGTTGCTCCAAACGAAGCTTAAATTTGAATTATGATTGAAGGATGGCTCGATCATTATATGATCATTATTCAAATATTATTATCATTTAGTTTGAAGATTATTCGATTATAATTTGAGAATTGCTTGATCATGATTTGAAGACCATTATATCATACTTCAAACATCAATTATGACACATCCTACTGCAATGTTAATACACAAAATGAGTATAATCGCAACAATTGATTATAAGATGTATACTAGAAAAGCCATAATAAATAGAGTTCATTTTAAAAGGTTTAACACAATAAACATAATAGGGAGAGCAATTCAATTATGCAATTCAAGAGCTATAACTCAAAATTCACAATGAAAGTGTTATTTAAAAGATATAATTCTACAACTGATGTAAATTAAAAAGTAATGTAAATTTGATTAATGAATGAGTAAAATATAAAAAAAAAAAATTATTTACATTAAAAAAAAATTTATGAATTTATATTATTTTGAAATAAATCTACACGTAAGAGATCCATCCATATAGAATTATATACGATTAGGTATTGCTTAAAGAATATTTTTACTTGAAATCGGGTATAAAGGGAATAATTTATATTTTTTTGGCTTCATAAATTGTTAATTATGCATTGAAATGATGAAGAATATTATATTTTCCAAGTCATCACAGTGAAGATTAACAAGGAGATTTATATAAAATACTAATATAATATATTTATTTATGTGGAAATTATAAGCACTAAATATTTAAGTTGATGTATTCGAACAATGAGATTAACAAGCAGATTTATAATATGTGTGATAATTTAATTTTTTTTTTCAATAATTAATAAAAATAAAAATAAATAGGCATGAATTCATAATTTTACTACTTTTTTTAATAGATAAAAGTAGTTGATTCATATTATATCTATTCATAAAAAATAAAAAAAAAATATTATATATATATATATATTCATAGGGTGAAGAAAATTATTTAATTGCCAACAATTATATTGCATGAAGGCAAAGTGCCTCTTATTCTAAGATGATTTTTGGCTCATTTACATTATCATTATATTTATGATCATTTGTATGCACTTTTATGTTAACATTTATCTACCAAAATATCAGGAATAGCAATAATCAATATTCAATATTCCTGATTTATCCTGAATATTAATTAGTTCTACTTAAATACATGCAGCATTAATTGAATATTAAAAGTGGGTCAGGCAACCCATAATATCTAGGAACTTCAAGAATTAATAAATATAATGCTGAAAAAAATTATTTTCAACCCTACTTGAATAGTTTTTGAATGTTGTTGAATTATGTGTTGGAATAATACTTTAAATATTTGAATAAAGATTGAATTTATTAAACAATAAAGTATATTGTAGCAGAATACAATAATAATTGCTATAACATAATAGATTATAAGACAGAATGCAATAATAACATCTATAACACAATAGATTATAAGACAAACACGACAAAAGATAAACTTTTAATGAGAAGCCTTATGTCAAATTAAAACATATACATTATTTATACAATAACATGTTGGATACAATCATAATAGTTATGACAAAAAAAAAAAAAAAAAGTTATAAAGTTCTTAAAGTAAAATCATATATATATATAAAATGCCCAAATTTAATCACATCTATATAAATATTAAATGTGTCATTCTAGATCATCAGTATTGAAACCAATTTCATCAAATAATATTTGGTTTATTTTTTATATTATATTTATGAGTCAAGTCATCAAGCCTTGCATTGATCTTCAGTAGCATATCTATTGAAATTGGTAGCATATCTACTAAAAGTAGCACTGTGAGCTCTAAAAATGTTGCTTTTGGGTGCCCTAGTCCCTCCACGTGATTTGGGGAGAGTTTTAATGGATTATATTCTAGGGATACTTTTCTGATCGTTTAGATGTAAGACATTACCTAAAGATTTTTGCTCTAATATACAAGAATTTTAATATATGAGTTCAAGTTTCTCATATGCGCACACTCGCATAGTTAATTTCCCCTCTTAGTGACAAGATAGTGTATTCAATTAAGGATACTCATTAGATAAACACTTAGTACCCGATGTATAGTAATATTATATTTTATATTTTTAAGATTTTAGAATTTATCATTTTTCACTTAAAGAGGATAGCGGGGGAGTGATGACAAACCCATTCAAAATCTCATGGTTCTTTCATCTAGGGTTGTCATAGGCCTTAGTGTACTTAGTCAGAGAGGTGGTCGACCTAATATAACTAAAAGTTCTTTATTGACAATCATGTGTTGCTTTGTATAAAGATATCTTATAGACCTTGGGTGAAAGTTTGTCTAAAGGATAAACTCAAGGCAACCTTAGCTAATAAAGGGCTTTGTGCCTTATCAAATATACAATGTAATTCATTAGTCAAGGGTAATGGTCATTAGGGAGCATATGAGCTTGGTTATGACTATAATATAGTAGACCAGTTGGACCAAACCACCCATCAATGGGCATCAATCATAACCATTTACCACTTGGAGCTATTAGGCTACACCACCTGTCTTATAGAGCTATTTGGTCAAACCACTGATTAGAGGACACCATCATAATCATTCACTTGTGGGGCCATTGAATCAAACTAGTGATTTTATGGAGCTATTGGGCCTAATCACCTATTAGAGCACATATGTCACATCCTCACTAATAATCTATTATTTTAGAATAAATCACAGTGATATTCTTGACTGAATATTTGCTTTTTGTGAGTTGAAATCATTCTTAAGTTCATTGCTATCGCTAAATGGATGTAAAGGGTATATGATTTTGCATTAAGTTATTGGGTGACTAATTCACCTTTGGATATTTGAATTTCAATAAAAATTGAAATTTAAGAATTTTGATAGATCTTAAAAATTGACCCATCCGGTTGAGATTTGATTTTAACATGGTAATTATTTGGGTTTAAATAATTTATATTTTGGTTTTGTGAACCATGTCAACTCCACAGACTTATCAGCAGAAGATTGATAGATCTGAATTGACATTACATTTTTTATGATAATATCCCATCCGGTTGAGATTAACTTCAACACAGTTATCGTTGTGGATAAATACAAGTCATTTTAAACATATACGTGTTTGCAACGTGAAAGAGTTAATCACAAAAGAGAAGTGAAGTACAAAACAATAAATTCGAATTCTACTCAAATTTTCAATGAACACATAATTAAATTTAATCAACTTTGTTGGAAGTTGTTTGGACAATATTCCATCATTGATCAAAATTTTTTTGGACATTGATCGAACAATCTTTGAATTATCATCGAAGCTTTTTAACTATTGTTTGATCCTGATTTCAAAATACAAACAAATTTTAAATAAACTTTGAAGAAATGCTTTATCATGTGTCGAACATGTTTCAATCAAGGCTTGAGTAAAATTTGACAAATATTCGAAGTTTGCAATCTCATATTCAATATCCTTCTATGTCTTAAGATTCATAGTGTAAACATATAACGTCACTAACCTTTAATGATAATCGTTGATTAGTTTGAGATAAAGACACTGATATAAATGTTGCATCATAACTTCATCTTAGAGCTACCTCTTCTAAATGAGAAAAGTAGGAGAAGAAGAAGCCGTTGAGAATTCAAAGTACCAGTCAAATTTTGCATGAAGTGTTGCCTATATAAAATAGAGTGTCTCGTACTCGTTAAATTTTGGAATCATAAATGAAAACTTTTAAGTATATTTCCTCAAGATAAAATACTTAATATATTTCTTCAAATTTTGTTATTATAAACATATAATGCCAAATTTCGCTTCTTTTTATTTTCCAACATTTATTGAGAAACAATATTTATTTATTTCAAGACAGTAAATACTTAAATGTAATAGAAAATAATTTTATTTGAAATGATATTATTATATTTTTAATTGCTTCGTTTGTTTTTTTTTTTGTGCTTTTTATAAAAATCAGTTTTAAAAAACATTAGTTTAGAAAATAAAAATTTCTAAAAGATAAGCATAAATAAAAAGCTTTCTCAAAACTGTAGAAAAATGAAAAAAAAATATTGAGAACATGATTTGACAAACCAAACAATAAAAAAAAATCTCCTTATCCAAACGAAAGAGGCCAAAAAAAAAAAAAAAAAAAAAAAAAACCTC